CACTGTACTCCAAGCCCACTGATGCGGTAGCGCTCAAATAGCGGACCAACCTCTTGGCCGCTTCCAGCTGCTCATGACTAGGGCGTGCAACCACACTTGCAAACCTGGATGTAGCGAAGGCAATGTCAGGCCGCGTGTGGTTAGCCACATAATTGAGTGCCCCCACCATGGAATGAAACAGCTTCCTGTCAATCTCACCCACCACCTCCTCATCAGCACAGGGCTCCACTTTGAACCCTGAAGGCAGTGGGGTGGCTGGCTTCCCTCCATTTGTCAGCCCATAGTTCTCGGCCAGCCCCTCACAGTACTTCCTCTGGTGCAACCTCAACACTCCCTTGTCAAGGTCCCTCTCCACATGCATACCCAGGTAGTACTTCACATCTCCCATCTTGGAACACTTGAACTGCATCTCCAGCATCTCCTCCACACGCTCAATCATTGCAGACGACTCAGAGAAGAGCATGATGTCGTCCACATACACCAGGAGCATGAGAAACTGCTCCTTCTCTTGTAGCAGGAACAGGCTGTGGTCACACTCACTCTTCTTGAACCCCCCAGCCAGCAGTGTCTCCTCTAGCTTGTGGTACCATGCACGAGGAGCCTGCTTTAGGCCATAGATGGCCTTCTTCAGCCTGCACACCCTGCCGCTCCCATCATCCAAACCCTCAGGCTGTAACATATACAGCTCCTCCAGAATGATCCCATTGAGGAAGGCGGTGGTGATGTCCATCTGCTTCACCCGCCATCCACGGTTTGCTGCCATTGCCAGTGACACTCTCAATGTTGTGCCTTTCCCCATAGGAGCAAAGATCTCGTCAAAATCCTTCCCCTTTGTCTGCTGAAACCCCTTAGCCACAAGCCTTGACTTGTAGCGGGTCAGCTCCCCATCTGGTCCGTACTCATGCCTGAAGATCAGCTTGGAAGAAATGGCCTTCTTCCCAGGCGGCAGCTCACACAGCTCCCACGTCTCGTTCTCCAACAGAGAGTCATACTCCTCCACACTCTGCATCCATTTTTCAGCATCCGGCCCGCTCAATGCTTCAGCTAGCGTATTGGGCTCAGGAACGGCTGCCCAGTAGCAGTGTGCTATCTCATCCTCATCACACTGCTCAGCCACACTCCCAGCCCTTACCACCTTTGGCTTGCCAAAGCTCGGATAGGTCAGCCGGTTAGGAGGGCGCACATCCCTCCTAGGACGGTCAATCGGACGTGCGGCACCTTGTGGAGCACCTTGCTGCTGCGGCTGCTGCTGCGACTCCACCTCAGGTTCTCCCCCATCCTCAGTAACCCCAGAGATTTCGTCCTCTGAGACAGTGACCTGCACTTGTCTCGAAGGCCGCTGCACCTCATCGGCCTCAATGATCAGTGGTGTAGTAGGAAGCTTCTGCTGCTGCTGCTTCCACTCCTTGTAGTATGAGGACTCGAGGAACTTCACATCCCTTGACACAGTCAGCTGCTGGCTGGTCAAGTCCCAAATCAGCCAGCCCTTGTGATCCTTAGCAAGCCCCAAGTGCACACCCCATCTCCCAGAAGCTTCCAATTTTCCCCTCTTCTCCTTAGGCACATGAAACACCACCATGCACCCAAAGGCTCTCAGCATGTTGACTGCTGGTGCACTCCCATACCACTTGGTGTAGGGGACCCACTGCTTGTCCCCCACAATTGCCAGCACCCTGTTCTTCACAAGGGCGACCTGCCGTAGTGCAGTCACCCAAAACGGATCCGGCAGCCCTGCACGCCCAAGGAGAGTGCGAGCACCTTCCTGCAGGGTCCGGTTGAACCGCTCAGCCACGCAGTTCTGCTGAGGGTTGTAGGGCACCGTAAGCTGATGCTGGATCCCCTTCTTCTTCAGCACGGCCTCAAAATCAGCGCCAATGAATTCTCCCCCATTGTCGGTGGGATCACCTTCACCTTGTGTCCGCTCTCCCTTTGAGCTCTCGGCATCCACTCCTTGAGAACAGCCGCTGCCACCTCCCCCTTAGTCTTCAAAGGGTAGACCCACACTGTACGTGTGTGGTTGTCCACAATGGTCAGGAAATAGCGGCTGCCCGAGAGAGAAGGGGCCCTGGTGGGGCCCACCACGTCCATGTGCACAAGTGCAAGTGGCGCCTTGGCTGGTCCTGTGCTCCTGCTGAAGGGAAACTCCGTGAACTTGGTCTCAAGGCATGTAGGGCAGCTCCCAATCTCCTTTGCTGCCCCCTTCACTTCCAGCCCCTTCAAGCACCCATCCTTCACTAACTTCTGAAGCATAGGGATGTTGATGTGACACAACCTCTCGTGCCACGTCTCCCAATCGGCCTCACCACTCCCAGATGAAGCTTTTGCCCATGCAGCTGTCGCATCCACACCAGCAAGCACCTCACCATGTGGTTGCTGTGACTTCTGCACCTTCTTGACTGCATCCAGGGCCCCTGCAGTTGGTGCAGTCTCCTCTCCTCCCGCAGTTGCTTTAGCCGCTGCCGCTGCCTTTGCCGTTCCTGGTGGTTTCCCTTCCAAGGGATGATGGGCAGCTGCCATAGGTCCTTGATGCAGCTGCTCTTCTCCTCCAAGTTCCACAGCAGCAACTTCCCAAGCTTTGCACGGCAGCTGGTTGGGCCAAAGGTAACTTTAGCCTTGCTCTTCTGCAGCCGGCACACAGAAAGAAGGTTAGCGGACAAACCTTCAACCAACAGCACATTCCCAAGCCCCACAAGCTCTCCATTGGCTCCCATCACCTTGGCATTCCCAACACCAATCACAGGGAGCAAAGCACCTGAAGCGGCAGCCACAAACTTGATCTTCCCATGAGGTTTTACCTCATCAAGCAAACCTGCCCGTGGGGTCATATGACTCGTGCAACCTGAATCGATCACCCAGTGAGTGAGGGGGTGCATCACAACCTTCCCAACTGAACCCACATCACCCCCACTCCCTTGCACATCCTCAACCATGAGGAACATCCCAGGGTCAGCTTTACCTTGTGCACCATCACCTTGTGCACCTGAACCTTGCACAGCGCCACCTCGTGCACGTTCACCCCTTGGCGGCTTCATGCCTGGAGGCGCCCATCCTTCAGGCTGGCTGAAACACTTGAACCATGGGTGTCCAGCCTTCTTGCAGTACCAGCACGCACCCTCCATTCGGGTGCTCCCCCTGCCACCAGAGCTCCCATGCCCCTCATTGTAGTCACCTCGGCCTCTCCCTCTGCCAAAGCCTCTCCCACGGCCTCGGCCTCTCCCTCCCCCTCTTCCTCTGCTGCCTCCTGCAGCTCCATACCCCTCTGCAGTTTTGTTGGCAGCACCACCTCCCGTGTGGCGCATGCGGAAGTCCTCCTCGAAGATCTGCTGCCGTAGCCACTCAGGCGTCCATTTGTCCTGCTGAACGTTAAGGGTGGGGATAAGGTTGTCCCACGAGTTGTCAAGCACCGAGATGATCTTGGTGCACTGTTGCATCTGCGACACTTCGCTGCCCGCCGCTGCCATCCTCGCATAGGTGTCCTTGATCTTGTCAAGGACTGGTTTCACATCATCTCCCGGTTTCATGGAGAGGGCAGCCAACTCCTTCTCCAACACAATCACCATCAGCAGCGTGTTGGGCTGAATCACGTCGCGTAGCAGCTTCCATGCCTTCGATCCGGAATCATCCAACTCCACCAAATCCTTGATGTGCTGGAACATGTCATTGTTGACCGATTGGAGGATGAGGTCGTACAGCACCGCACTCTTCCCAATCCACCGATCGCGGGCATCTCCTTCCCCCGGCATCTTCTCCTCTCCCATTGCAATATTCAGTAGCTTGTAGCGCTTGAAGGCGCTCCGCATCCGCCCGCTCCATTCCTCATAGTTGGAGCCATCCAAAGCTTCAATCTTGGATGGTGGCGGCTCACTCCTGTTCTCAGCTACATATCCACTCCCTTGATTCATCTCCTCTGCTCCCAAACAGAGGTTTCAGCTCCCCTCTTTGCTGGTCACAATGTAGATCCACACAATCTTCACAAGTGTCGGCGCCAACGAAATTTCGGCAGAGTTTCCCCTTAGCCGAAGTCACATCCAACCTCCAGAACTCCACTTAGGCACGCCCACAGGCCATGGTGGGTCTAGGAGGGTCTTCACACTTCAGTAGACTCCCCAAAAGGTCCTTAATCAGCTCTGATACCACTTGTTAGAGACTAAGGACGAAGTCTACAAAGATTAGGTGCCTAAAATTCTCAAAATCGTTGGCTTAGAATTCTGGACAGAAAAGTCGCGCTCACAAGAAACGCCGTCGACGAAACGTTCAGTCAAACTTCATCAAACTCAGATATGTTGTAGCTCTACTGGGTGGCTACAATTCCCAAGTTGGATCGTACAAAACGGTGAAGTATTTCTTGAGTTATCAATTTCGGCGCACTAGGGGGTACACTGCCATAGAATCTTAACTCAATCAGAATAGTCTCACACAAGTTCGCAATTACCATACAAGGATGTTAGAGTAGCACTAAACCAAGTGGAAGGGATGAGTAGGATGAGAGGGAAGGTCCCAAGAGAGTCCCCAACCAAGGAAACCCCACGCCACACAATTCCCTTCTCCATAGGCAACCCCACATTCACTTTTGTCACTTTCCCAACCCATGCCATCCACCTTGCCCAACTTGGCCACACTTGCCAACCTGGTTTGGTTTCTCACAACCATTTGGCAGCAACTAGAGTAGAAAAGACGAATTTCCCAACCCCCAAAAGTCTGTACCCCATATTGAGTCAACCCCACAACTTCCCACAGTTGCCACATTCAAATATGAAAAGCATACGAACTCCAACGTTCGTAACTTTCTTGTTCGTGCTCCGATTGAAGCGATGCTTGGTTTGTCGGAAAGCTCTTGAGCAGAGGAGTCACTTCAGATATCTACTCAAGCCAAATAACATTCACACACACTCAGAAAAACCTAACCACATCAAACACAAATTCTTGCACACGCTCGCATCACGCACGCAACGCACGAACATATGATGGGAGGCAAACAGGCGTGAATGCAAATGATAGCATTACATAGCACGGACCACCACCTGAGCCACTCCTCTGCGCAGAGTCGCGACCCGCTCCACCACCGCCGCCGCCACCGCCGCCTCCTCCACCTCCGCCTCCTCCGCCACCTCTGCCGCCTCCGCTCCCTCCGCCGCCTCCGCTCCCTCCGCCACCACCACCGCCTCCGCCGCCTCCACTGTTGCCGCCGCCGCCGCCAACCCGAGCACCACTCCCACTACCACCCCCACTCCCTCCACTGCCTCCACCACCACCTCCACCGCCCCCTCTAGCCCCTCCAGCGCCCTTGCCCCCTTTGCCCTTGCCGGTGCGGCGTTTCCCGCTCGAGGCAGATGCAGCGCCGACGGACTCGAAGCCAACGAGGTCGGCCGCAGCAGCAGAGGCAACAGAGGGCAAGAGGGGGGAGGGAGAACACCCCTCAAAGACGGGGGTGCGAGGGTCACCACGAGAGGCTCCTACAGCGACTATGCTCTTCTCTGCCGCTAGGAGGGCCTTCTCGAGGAGGTCAACGGCGAGAGTGGTGGGACAAACTGAGAGGAACTGGTCCCTGACTACGCGGAGAGAGTCAGGGAGCCGGGTGACTGTGTAGTAGAGGGTGATGTACATGGGGTGGGGGTTCTTGGCGCAGAACTCAGCAGGAAGCGCAGCGCGGTAGCGAGTGTCACTAGTGCGGAGGTGCGTAATGAGGTCAGCGACTGTGGGAAAGGCAGCAAGGTCAGGGAAGAGGTCCGGTAGCATGAGGCGGCTCAGTGCTGTAGTGGCAGGGGAAGAGTAGCGTGCAGCTGCAGCGTCGTACAAGGTCTGAGCACTCTTGTACTGGCTAAAGTGTGCACGCTCAGTGGTTGGTAGGTGGCGGCGCACAGCAAGGCGAGCAGCAGCATCACGCGTGGCCCACTGTGAGCGAACAGTGGCGTCAGCATCAGCAGCAGGGGCAGGAGAGGTACTAGAAGTGAGGTCAAACAGGGAGAGACCGTCAGCCCTATCGCACTGTAGGAAAAGTTGCGGATCATCTACCCAGACCTCAAAGTCAACTGCCCGACCCTCAGCGTCAAATGTGAGAACACTAGGGGAGGCCATGGCAGCAGTAGACAAGCAGTGAGTACAGTGGGTGAGGGCAGTGCGGTGGCAGAGACGCTGCTCTTACCAGGCAAGTGGGGCGGTCGGGCGGCTCGGCGGCTCGGCTGCTGGGTGGCTCGGCGGTCGGGCGGCTCGCCTGCTCGGCGGCTCGGCTGCTGGGCGGCTCGGCGGTCGGGCGGCTCGGCTGCTCGGCGGCTCGGCTGCTCGGTGACTGGGCTGCTCGGCGGCTCGGGCGCTGGGTTGCTGAGCGGCGACAGGGCCGTGGAAGGGTGGCGACGAGGCCGCTGAAAGGGCAGCGACGGGCGGCTGGAAGGGCGGGCGGCGACGGGGCCGCTGAAAGGGCGGCAACGGGGCCGCGGAAGGGCGGCGTCGGGGCCGCGGAAGGGCGGGCGACGGGGCCGCTGTAAGGGCGGGCGGCGAGGCCGTGGAAGGGCGGCGACGGGGCCGTGGAAGGGCGGCGACGGGGCCGCTGAAAGGGCGGGCGGCGACGGGGCCGTTGAAAGGGCGGCGACGGGGCCGCTGAAGGGCGGTGACGAGGCCGCTGGAGGGCGGCGACGGGGCCGCGGAAGGGCGGTGTCGGGGCCGCGGAAGGGCGGGCGACGGGGCCGCTATAAGGGCGGGCAGCGAGGCCGTGGAAGGGCGGCGTCGGGGCCGTGGAAGGGCGGCGATGGGGCCGCTGAAAGGGCGGCGACGGGGCCGCTGAAAGGGCGGCAACTGGGCCGCTGAAAGGGCGGCGACGGGGCCGCTGAAAGGGCGGCGACTGGGCTGCAGGAAGGGGCGGTGACGGGGCCGCGTAAAGGGCAGCGCGACGGGGCCGTAAGGGCGGCGCGACGGGGCCCCAAGGGCGGCGCGACGGGGCCGAAAGGGCAGCGCGACGGGGTCGTTAGGGGCCGTAAAAGGGGCCGCTATTGGCCGCTAGAGGGGGAACGACACGGGGCGCGACTCGGGCAGGGGCCAAGCGTGCTCCGGGCAGGAAAAAAAAGTCGGTGGGCCCTAGGAACAGTTCCCACGAGGGAACGAGCTCTATACCATGTGAAAATGAGAACGAGAGAATGATTGAACTATGAAAGAGTTGGGTACAATTACTAACCCTAATTGGGTTGTACCCCTTATGGGCTACCCCACTACAGCCTACACAAATGTATAAGCTATAATGTTCTGACAGGATTGGAGTAGTGAACAACATTTGCGTCCCAAGCCGTCTCAAGACGTTGAATGTGCTCCCGCTCATCCTTGCAGGTGGCGACTAACAGCAAGACGCGCAGCAGCATCACTCAACGCCCTTAGTGTGTACGCAAGCTATTCGTCACAGTGCTCCTTCTTCTCCTTTGCACAGGCGTCGGCAATAAGATTAGTACGATGGGGAGGGACATGCAGCTCACCCGAAACCTGGGGGTACATGCGGACATCACCTTGAAGCTGGCTCAATAGGTGGAGCTTGGCGTCGTAGAGCTATGCTGCAAATTTGACCGCCCGCCCCTCCGCATCACGTCGCAGAAAAAACTCAGTTGTCACGATGGGAGCAGGTGCACAATTGCAGTTGAAGAGAGAGACACCCATACCCGGAGGAGATGGCGGGCAGAAGGGAGGGCCATGCTAGGGCTGCAGGTGTGGGAGTGGCAGGCGCAAGCGCAGGAATGGTGGATGCGTGCGGTAGCGGCACCATCGGCTCGTGCGGCGCGGCGATGCAAGCTTGCGCGCGGGCAAGTGCGGGGCTGGTGCACGGCTGGCAAGCTGGCGCTGCCAACGCCAAGTGGCGAGCAGCTGGCGCGGGTCTGGCACAGCTAGAGCGGCTGGTGCTGCTAGCGCGAGCTGGCTAGTGGTTGGTACGGGCGGTTAGCGACTAGGGCAGCAGGCGTGGCTGGCTCGGCTAGCGGGTGCGCTGCTGGCTGTCGTGGGCTGGCTGGCATTCGGTGGCACGCGGCTGGATGTTGTGGGTTGTCTGTCATTCGCTGGCGCGCGGCGAGCACAGTTGGCTTGCACGAGCGGCAGGCGCGGCAGCTGGCGCTGCTGGCTGGCGCGAACGGTTGGCGCGCTGGCTGGCGCAGGCAGGCACGGAGCCTGCGTAAGCGGCGTGTCGGTCATGCTGGCTGGCTGACGTAGGCGGCTAGCCGGCATGCTGGCCGGGGTGGCTGGCTGGCGCAAGCGGCTGGCAAGTTGGCTAGCGAGTTGGCTGGCGCATTGGCTGGCGAGGCAGGCTCGCGGAAGCGGCTGGCTGGTGCGGCTGGCTTGCACGCTGCTGGCGCGTCCAAGCTATCCTATAGTGTGCACATGCAAAAGTGTACCGTCATACCCCGGAGATAAGCGCCACCCGTGGATAAGCACCTGGCGCTTTTAATTGGCGTGTGGGGCTTATATCCGGTGCTCGATTATAAGCGCATACCTAAAAGGCTTACAGATTATAACCGCATACCTGTGCCTTACATTTTATAACCGCCACCAAATTTTTTTTTTTTTCATTTGAAGACCTTTTACATAATTAGTATACTAAAACATCATGTTAATTACTCTACAACTAGTTAATCTACTCCTACCTACGAGCCTCACACAGGCTTCACCATTTTCTACACTAGTTAATCTACCCTACTCTAATCATCAGCTGCAGTGGGGTCATCTGGGATGGCCTCAGAGTCCGACTCAGGTTCCTCTACGTTGTTGCAGAAGAAACCGTCTGCTGCAATTTCATCATCCATGTCGACCTCCTCGCCCTCGAGCTCGTCTCACCTGTGTTGCAGGCAGAGCTTGTCCTTGAACCCATCCAGGGCGTTGCTGATGCCGCAGGTGAGGAACGTCCGTTGAATGAGCTCCTTGGGCACGGACTTCCAGGCCGCCGAGATCCACTTGAGCGTAAGCTCAACAGGAGGCTTCTTGATGTTGCCTCCCACGCAAATCCATAAACCGGGTCAGCACGGGTTAAAGAAATAAAAACATAACCAGAAGAGCTGCACCTCTCACCTTTCTTCGTCAAGGTGTCGACCCCCTCACGCTCAAACCACTCCTGGTAGAGCTGGCGAACGGCGGCCTTGAAGGAGCGGTTAACCGCGATGTCGAGGGGTTGAATCTCCGAGGTGCAGCCAGCAGGGATAACCGCAGGGACCAGGTTCGGCTCGCCAAACTTCTTCTTCACCTCTGGGGTCAGGTGCCCGCGGTACGAATCGAGGACGAGCAGAGCTTTGCGGGGGCGGACTCCGAACTTGGGATTGATGTACGGCTTCACCGCCCCGTCCAGCCAATCGATGACACCGTCCGCGTCCATCCACCCGTTGGGATGGACCCCCACGTGGATATCTGCACAGCAACAAAGCCATGATGTTAGTTAAAAATATTAAATGACATATGTCAGAATGTTATAATTCTCTAGCCTGCAGTGGGGTACTCTATAGCAAGTACAACCCAATTAGGGTTTCCGATATGTATGCCAACTACTGCTAGTGCAAATCCTCCTTTGTTCATTTCTCCTTCTAACTGCTGCTTCTGACATGGTATCAGAGCACGTCGACCCCCTTGGGTCGATCCTGTGGGTGGGCTCGCCACCTAACTGCTTCCGCTGCTGTTCTGCTTCTCGCGCGCCTCGGGTGCGCACCGTCTTCTTCCTGCCACGCGCGGAGCGCGCGGCGCAATTTTTTTTTGGCGTTTTTCATCCCGCCGTGCGCTCGGGGCGTGCGGCGGTTTTCTGCCCGCCGTGCGCCCCGAGGCGCGCGGCGGTTTCCTGCCCGTCGTGGCGCCCCCATGGACCTGCGCGCTGCCCCCCGTCGTCCTCCTCCCGTCGCCTCGTCGCGGCGCCCTAGGGGCCCGCGCGCCGGCCCCTCCCGTCGCCTCGTCGTGGCGCCTTGGGGGCCCGCGCGTCCCCCATCTCCCGTCACCTCATCTCGGCACCTTGGGGGCCCGCGCATCGCCCCCCTCCCGTCGCCTCGTCGCGGCGCCTTGGGGGTCCGCGCGCCGCCCCCTCCCGTCGCCTCGTCGCGGCGCCTTGGGGGCCCGCGCGCGGCCCCTCCCGTCGCCCGTCGAGCTGTTAGAATTCCAACCACTAGACCATTGGGATAAAAGGGCTTATTAAGTAGCGGGTCAGTGCGCCCATAACCCCCCAGGCCAACATGCCTGTAACCCTTCCCTAGGATCAATCGGGGATCACCAGTGGACCTCTGACACCCCCCCCCCCCCCCCCCACTGGGATGCCCGAAGTGCACACACCGGGATTCGAACTCGAGACCTTCGCTCTGATACCATGTCAGAATCCCAACCACTAGACCATTGGGATAAAAGGGCTTATTAAGTAGCGGGTCAGTGCGCCCATAACCCCCCAGGCCAACATGCCTGTAGCCCTTCCCTAGGATCAATCAGGGATCACCAGTGGACCTCTGAGACGAGTCGCCCTCGGGGGCCCGTGCGCGGCTCCCCTCCCGTCACCCGCCGTGGCGCCCTCGGGGGGCCCGCGCCCTGCTTCTTTGTGGCGCCCAGGAGACACCCCGCCGCCTTCCTTTCCCTCCGTGAACCGCCCCTGCTGTTTCCCGCGCTCCTGCCTCCGTTAGGGTTTGGGGGTGGCGGACATGGGGGTGACCGGTGTGGGTAACCTGCAGCTCCTCCTCCTCCTCCTCTGTCTCCCACTGCTGCAGCTGTCGCTGAGGGGGGTGGGTGTGTGGGAGCCGAGGGTTTAGGGTTTAAGGGGGGTGATGGGGTAGTGGAGCTAGGGGTGCAGCAAGGGGTGTGTGAAAAGGAGGTGGGACTGTTTAGGGAGGCTGAGAGGAGGCCGCCGTCGTGTCGTGCGCAGTGCCTGTAGTCCGGAGCCGTCGCGCTCTCGGTAGCCCAGAGAGCCTTGCTGTGCCAGTCGCCTGTGGGTCCGTTGCTCTTGCCGCTCGTCGTAGCCGCGGAGCCAGATACTCCGGTAGTCCGGTGCCCTCGTGCGCTCGGTAGCCACTGTGCCAGTCCTCTTGTTGCCCGTGTGTCTGCAGCTTCAGCTGCCGTCTCCCATCTTCTCTCCCTTCACAATTCCTCCTCCTCACTTGCCCTCTGTGATCGCCTCTAGCTTTATTTATAATTGTGGACTATTTCTATGCTTGTTCATTGTGCTGATTACACCCCACTTTGGCTATGGGGGTGTGTCAGAATGTTATAATTGTCTAGCCTTCAGTGGGGTACTCTATAGCGAGTACAACCCAATTAGGGTTTCCTATATGTATGCCAACTGCTGCTAGTGCATATCCTCCTTTGTTCATTTCTCCTTCTGACTGCTGATTCTGACAACATCGACATGCCACCGCGTAATCGACGCGTGGTGCATACCTGAAGGGAAATCTCCTTTGGGGACGGTCTTCCTTTTGAAGAAGACCCAAGGATTCAACTTCTCCCCGCTGGCGGTGCAAGAGAGCATCACTGTAACCCGCTCTTTCTGGTAGCCGCCGCTGCGGACGGGCACGGAGCGCGAGCCAACCTCTTCAACGGTGCCTTCGGATGGCATCTCGAGCCAGAGGGGCGTCTGGTCCGCGTTTAGAATCTACGGCAGGTCGATCTTGTACTGTCGGCGGGAGTGACGCACGTACGTCCAGAAGTTCTTGACATCAGTCTCGCAGTCTGGGACACGGGATGGGAGGAACAGAAAGCACAAACACAGAGTGAGAGCCGTGAATAGACGGGAACAGACAAACAACAATACCACCAAATAACAACTCACTGGACGAGAGCTTCTGGCCGACCCGGGTCTTCGCTCTGGTTGTCAGGTTCCAGCGGCCGCGAAAGCGCTGAGTCCACCGCTGAGAGCCGGCCCACTTTTCACCTGGGTGTAACTCTTTTATCACCTCGTGCAACCACTTCTGCAGTCATGCGATCGAGACGGCGAGGCACTTCTTGCGGTGGGCGAGAAACCTCCGGTACAGCTCCGCTTCCATGTCGCGATACCCCGAGCTCATTCCGTGGCCGTGCAGGCGACGGCGTGCACCGTGCGCGCCCTCAAGCTCACCCTTGTGGTTCTTCTACTCCGTGAGGCACCTTCGGGAGATGTCGGATTCGCGAGACATGCGCCGCACACTCATCTCTCCGGCTTCGAGCTTCAGAATCCATTGCAGCTTCTCATGCGAGGTGTAGGAATTGTGCCTGTGCTTTGTCGGCTTGTGCCTGGGGGAGGGAGGACGGGCATCACGATTATCGTGAGATGGGTGGGGCCTATTTTTATTCGGAGGGGGAAAGGAGGGAATTGGAAGGTGCTCGTGGAGACCGTCAGCAGCCCAGAACTCCACGTCGTCGTCCGCACCGGTAGCGGATTCGTCCAATGGGCAATCAGCCGGCGCTCCCCATCGTGGCTCCGGTGCGGAGGAAGATCCTTCGCCGCCGCTGCGTTCTGGCTCGCACAGGAAGGCGTCGAACGCCGAGTAGCCAGGGGGGAGGAGAAGCTGCAGAACCCCCTTGTCGCGGAACACCAACAGCAGGCGGGTCAGGAGGGGCCGGAGGAACGGGAGGAATAGGAGGCGCCGGGGGAGCGGGAGGGGTAGGAGGCGTAGGAGGCGTGGGAGGAACGGGAGGCACTACTGGTTGTGGTGGAGGGACGGGCGCAAGGCGCGTCTACCATTGAGAGTAGTCACAAGTGTCTCTGCGGGTATTTTCTCTTGCAGCAAGTTGGCGGCGGAACAAGAAATGCGTGCCTGGAAGGCCTGCCATGGCCACGGCACGCCAAAC